GTGTGAGCCGCCCTGAGTCCCCTCAGGGAAAAGGGCGGCCTACAAATTCTAATAAAATTCTAAAAAAAATTCTAAAAATTTGTATTCATGATACTAGTTGCCATTGGGTTTTTAAAAAAAAATATTACTTCAGAAAGCCAGTAAAGGCTGTGACCTGAGTTTATTTCAAGTTGGAATCACACAGTCTCCATTATATCTTGAATGAAGGACTCAAGGAGTTAACAGATTAACTTCTTAGTCACTTCACCCCATGTGTATTCTTTCATTAAATGGACTACCTACCAATGTGGCACATCAGTGAGGGAAAATTTCACATTGGCACTGAAGTGTGTGACAGCTGAGTTGCAAAGGAATTTTTATAGGGAATACAGAATATAAAATCCACTGCAGTCAGAAGAAAGTGGAAATCTGTTCTGCTTGAGAAAGAAATAAAGGAAAGACTATGGATATGTTTACCTGTATTACTGCACATTGTTTTTAAAGCATCTAAAATGGTATGACTCAAAATGTTCCTTGTATACTTACAAATCATTTATAATATGGCAGTCATAATATTCCACCAATTAGAAACAACCTTGTGAAATATATAGCATTGAAAGTAGCATCTCTCTTTGACACAGGAGCACATGCCAACCTTTCTGTTCAATGGCTATGAAGACTTAGATACCTTCAAGCTCCTGGAGGAAGAAGATTTGGATGAGCTCAACATTCGCGATCCAGAGCACCGAGCTGTTCTCTTGACAGCAGTGGAGCTCCTGCAAGAATATGACAGTGAGATAGATCTTCTCCTTTTCCAGTGCCCAGCTAAGGATCTGTTACCTACTTTGGAGTTTGAAGAGTCTAACTGTGAACCCCAAAGGTCTTGAAAATCATGGCTTGCAGGGAGCTAGAGAGAATATAGAACAATCATATAAATGTTATAAGAAATAAATGTCACTGTGCATTGGGAAATTTACATGGAATGTAAGGTGCCTCATAACTAGAGAACCTGTAAAGATCACCCAAGAAAAAGCCCTTAGAGATGCTTCTCTGACCTAAATATATTTCTAGGCTGGAAAAGAATTCCCGGTTGTCCCCATTACCACCTGCAAATATGTTGTGCCTAGTTTTTCAATTTAATTTGCGTTGATAGAGTTATGTAGCAGTTGCATGAGCAGAAGCGCCTTATCCATAGGAAGCACAGAGGAGGAGGATTCATTTTCCAGCCTCCTGGATGCTTTGCTTCAGGGTGGAAAGATTGAGGAATTCTCTGAAATATTTTTTTGAAGACCTTGAATGTTAAATTTCCAAACATGCCCAGCCCTTGCTATATTACACAAAACTGCTTAACGATGGTAGCTAACATTTCTTAGTCTTCTCTCTCCTTTCTCACTGGCTTCTGAAGTATTTTAAAGCAAGTATCTCTAGCATTTCTTTAAAACTTAAGTTGTTTTGTGGGTTGCTTGTTATAAAAGAGAAACTGAAAAGAGTTTTCAATCAATGTAAATTCCACTTTCTTAGTTTTGCCTTTATTGTTCTTTACTCAAGGTAACAGTGATCAGTCGGGCTCTCAGGAGAAACTCCTCGTAGATGGCCAAGACCTCAGTGGATGTTCTCCCAGGGATTCAGGCTGCTACGAAAGCAGTGAAAACCTGGAGAATGGTAATCTCAACTGTGCTCATTTGAATTGCATGGCTAATTCATTAGCTTCTAAAGGAACACCAGATTCTGTTTCCAGGAACAGCGCTTATAGAATTTCTTTTAGTGGCAATTTGGGCACTTCTTTCATTGTCTAACAAAACAATTGTTGCAGACCTAATTAGTGGAGACACACTAATTCTGGGGCTTGCATACTTTTCCAAGGTTCTCTGAACAGACTATGTCTCTGCAGTGTCTATAGAGCACTCAATTTTTCAGCTTTGTTTTTGGTAGTTGCTTTTTTAATATTCATGTAGCATAAAGGACTCCACCCCTTTCCTGCATGCAAGCTGTGTTGAATGCTTCACTAGTACAAAAGCATAACGAGGAAGTGCTTCAGATCAAGATTTAACTCATCTGCTTACAATAGGTTGAGAAAATTATTCAGAGGCTGGGGGAGAGAGACTGTTTTCTAGCAAATGGTTTCTTTACTTGGTATGCACGTGGCATCCTTCATGGCTCAAAGGGTTGTGTTGCTGAGCTCCTACTGGAGCCTTTTATGTAAACTGCAGCATGTCAAGTAGGATGAAGCACTGACAGCCTGCAAAGTGAGAAGCACCTGCTGTGCACTATCCCAGTGATCACAGCTTCTTTCAGCCTTTGTAAATGGAACGCATCTCTTTCTGAAGAACAGGCTTCAGCACAAGAAGTGGATGGCATAATATAGAGAAGCAAACATTCTAGGTTTACCTAAAATCACGTTGGCGCCTAATATTTGCCAGGGATCTGTTTGAATCAGAACATCACATTATTATAAAGAAAGTGTTAACAGCGCTTACCATTCAAGGTTACAAGGGGCATTTCAGTGATGTATTTCGGGCTATTTTTGCCATTTCCTCCTTTTTTACTGCCAAATAAATATATTTAATGCACCCATTCATGTAGCTTTAGAATAATTGAGCAGAAGCTATATCAAGTGCAGGAGACTTGTTTCACTTGCCTGTGCCTCCAGGTCTCTAACTGTGAGGAACCTAAGGATATCATTTCTGTTGAGAAATGTCAAATGAATTTGGGGAAGAAAGATTAACCTGCCCATTTTCAATTGTTCCAATTGTTATTTAAAACTTAAAACTTAGACAAACTTCATCTGTATGGGTCACATATTCCTCAGAATTTTGTTTCTCTACCTATACAACAAAGATACCCAGGGGCAAGGAGGAAGCAGATGCTGATTTTTTTCAAAGATCTACTTCTTTTTCTAAACTTTATTTCCTTTTGTTTCAGCTAAAATACGACAGCCTTGTCTCCTGCCCACAAAATTAGCCAGTGAATATCATTTTAAGGATTTCCACCGAAACCCACTGGTGAATTTTCCAAATCTACCCTTAAGTAAATCAACGGAAGCTTATCAGAAAGAAAAGAAAACCCAGTTCAGCTGTGTGTATCCAGTCTTCAAAAACCGTCTCAAGCTGCCAGCAGCTATGGATCTCAAGAAGAAAGGTAGAAGTTTGCCAGTTGGTGTCTGCCGAAGTTGGGAAGTTTTAGAAAGAGCACCAAATATGCCAATATGGCCAAGATCCCATTCTCTTGGAGACCTTCATGGAAATATTGACACTGGTAGTATAAAATCAGTAGATAGTTTACCTCTGGATTCATTAAAAAAACCAACTGAGCCTGAAGGCGGTGGGCAGATAATAAAACTATTGATGGCTAATCAAAGAAAAGAGGTTGTTGATCCCCTTAAGGGGAAGAGAAAGGAATTCCACTTGTCAGCAACCATGCCTTCTACAAGAATGTTCCCTCAGCATTTGCCCGAGAACTGTGATGCTCAGACATCTTCTCTGTCCCATGGTATGACCTGGACTCCTTTTGAAAGTTGTAAAAAAAGCACCCATGATCTTGGAAGAGCTAATGCTTCGATCTCCAAAGAAAATGTGGAAACTGATGAGAAGGACATGAGTGAAGCAAAAATGCTACCCAAAACATCTTCACAGCCACCGCCAGTCCCTGCGAAAAAAAACAGAGAACGCGTTTCTAATGGACACTGTCATCTCCCCTCAACTCTATCTTGTTCAGATGTACCGTCTTTGCCAGCAAAAAAAGTTACCCTTCAGGGCTCCTCCAGTTCCCATGAACTGACTGCATGTATAACATTTCCTGATCAGGAACCCAAAACTCCTTCCAGCATAAGGCCTCCTTGGTTGTCCGACCTTCCAGAAACAACTAGTGTCCAGCAACATGTGTTAAAACTCGATCCTTCTTCAGTAAGGAAGATATCCTGTAATAGAGGACTGGATCTTGAAATGTTGATAGAAAATAAGCTGCAGTCTGAAGATATTGATCTTACAGAAGAGCCCTATTCTGATAAGGTGCCCGAAAATTAAAATTTTGCTAATGTTCATTCTTTGGAATACCTTTTTAATTCTTTTCACCTTTAGAATGTCTTATATCATACCCCAAATGCATCCGTGTATTTTAGTACTCATAAGTAGATATACTCTGTTCCAGGAGTGAGTATAGTAAGCCATTTGGCGGATCCATACACTAGACCAGGGGTAGTCAACCTTTTTATACCAACCACCCACTTTTGTATCTCTGTTAGTAGTAAAATTTTCTAACTGCCCACCGGTTCCACAGTAATGGTGATTTATAAAGTAGGGAAGTCAATTAAATTTTAAAAAAGAAAGTGCTTCAATATCGGACAAAACCCATACCGGCCACCATGAAAGCTGGAACGCCCACTGGTGGGAAGTAGGGACCAGGTTGACTACCACTGCACTAGACTAAACAATTTTCACTGTTCTGCTAAAAGGTTTTCATTTTGAATATTAGTAATTATCAATGTGGGAACTGCTGTATGTCAAAAATGTAACAAGTTGCAAATCCAAACTCTTATGTAGTTTTCATGTAATGAATATAATCTGTATGGCAGCACATAATGGCCCACCAAGAAAGGCCACTATTTATATATAAATATAAATTTAGCCTTTATCAAAGCAACAAATCATATTCACTTGCCTATTATTCGGAACAGACTCAATGAAGCAAAGTTAATGACATCTCTTTTTTGGTGTCTTCAAATCAGCTTTGACCCCTAGTTACTAAGACAAGTCCCTTTCCTCTGCAAAATTTCATAAGTGTTTTGCCCTCGCCTGCTTCATGAGGCTGAGAAAGAATGATTGTCTGAAGGTCACCCAACTGGTTCTGTGCCTATGGTGGGACTAGAACTCCCCCTGTTTATAATTTGATGCCTTAACTACTACACCAAATTGGCTATACAGGGACATCTTAGATCCATCAATCTTAATAATAAAGTTAAGTGCATACTGAAGTCTCCTTTTTTAAAGTCTGCTTGCTTTGATTTTGTTTGTGGAGGCCCTTTACAGCAATGTTCTCATCAAGACCAGCATCCCACAATATCATGCCTTTCAAATGTTTTGAATGTAACACTCATAAAACCAGTTTGCATGGAAATTATGAGAAGTACACTTGGAGAGTAATAGTTTACGGCAGTGATTTTTAAGGCTTCTTAAGGAATACCCCAAAGGTGCTTTTCAAAAAGCAACTGTGTTTTCTTGGTTTTTCTTTGAAACCATTTTGCTTTACATCCAAGAAGCATCTTCAATTCTGAAAGATCTGAAAAACCAAGTCCAACTGACTTTTGAAAAACATCTTTGGGACAACCATGACCTGGATGATTGAGAATCTCCACAAACATTCTTAAGATTAATAGATTTACTACCCGGTAAGTTACAGAAAACATAATTACTGGGGGTGGAAAACAAATCATAAATATAGATGTGCAAATATATGGAAAAGATAGTCACCAAGTTAAACTTCTTATTATTTCTTAAGGAACTATTACTTAATATCAGAAGGAACACTTTTGTCAAATAGAATTTTGCTTATTTCATTATAACTTGAATTTTCATCTGGACATCTGCAGCATGGCCGTTGCGGGATTCCTGAACCTTTGGTGCAAAGATATGCTGAAGATTTAGATCACCCTGAAAAGGATGTTGCTACACACCTGGACCAAGTCCGAGTGAAGCAGCTGAGAAAGCAGCACCGCATGGCTGTAAGTCGGCATTAAATCTCATGAAATCATTGTCTCTACCCCTCAGTCTGACTGTGGTGCTCCTCGACAAAATAGCCATCACATTGTGTCCGAATGTCCATCAAGAGCTAACACCGGCCCAATGTCTGATTTTTTTCAATCCTTGAATGGCTGGGTGGACTGGATATTAACACTTGAACTACTGTAAGTCCATGTATTTGCCATAGGCTAAATAAAATAAGCATTAAATCCCCTGTGGCAAGTTCAAGGGCCTGTGATAAAAGCAAAGGAAAATGAAGTCCCTTTGATATTTTGCCACTTTGAATTGCAGATTGGGGAAACCTTGAACAGGTTGAATATTTTAAAAAATGCTGCTTATCTTTTCATTTTTTTAAAAAAACCTGCTCATATAAAATTAGCCGATTTTGGCTTTTTGACAGTGGTGACAACCTTCAACCTCTGCAGTACTAGTGAAGGACTGAGAGAAAGTTACTGGCAGCTGTATCATTTTCCTTGATAGATGGTGGAATCTTTGCTTACATGCTACCTATCAGTCTCCTCTACCAGCACTGTGTAACCAGCACAGAAATTGTTCCCAATGTATCTCTGGCATCCTTGCGTTTAAAGACTTCTTGATGTTTTCTCTTATTTAACTTGCTGCTTCTGCAGGAACTGTTAGAAGCTGATGGCAAGAAGGAGATAACTATTTAGAATTCCAGATGACTCTTTACTAAGAGTCATGGTAGCGCAGTGGTTAGAATGCACTAATGTAGGTTAATTCTGCTGACTGCCAGCAGTTCAATTCTCACCGGCTCAGGGTTGACTCAGCCTTCCATCCTTCCAAGATCAGTAAAATGAGGACCCAGATTGTTAGGGACAATATACTGACTCTGTAAACTGCTTAGAGAGGGCTGCAAAGCACTATGAAATGGTATATAAGCCTAAGTGTTATTGCTACTATAATTGTACAAGAATTTGGATGCATTATTTAGTTTAAGGAACGCATCACAAAGAACTCTGGAAAAAATATTCAAAGACCAATTAATTTAGTGCTCTCACTATGCCATTTCCCCACAAGAAAAACTGACATATGTTCTCACATTCGCTGACATGAAGATAACATGTATTCAGATTGAATTCAATAATCCCAGCAGCTTCTTTATACATGGAACAGATTGATGTTGCTTTTTCTTCAAATAGAGAAAAGGCCAAACAACAGCTTGAATTGTTTTTTTCTTTTGTTACAGATTCCAAGTAATGGCCTCACTGAAATTTGCCGAAAACCTGTATCACCTGGAAATGTCTCTTCCATAACTGATTGGCTAGTTTCTGTTGGCCTCCCAATGTACTCAGTCTCTCTCAGAGCTGCAGGAATCAATGACTTAAGTAAAGTGCCTTCTCTCTCACAAACGTCACTTCATGAGGCTGGCATCACTGAAGAGAAGCATATAAGCAAGCTTTTAGCAGCAGCGAGACTTCTGAATCCAGAGACCATATAACCCATTCTGGAATATAGTATTTTTTTTTCTGTTGGAAAACCTATCATTTCTTTTAAAAGCGATTTCATTATTAATTGCCCCAGAAAAAGCTTTGGAACAGGGAAATCTGGTCCTGGAGAAGGCTGAAGTTTCATCCTCTTCATATAAAACTAGTATCAGCGGTCCACAACAGGGAAGTATTTTTATTCAAAGAAAAGGCACAAGCAATAGTTTTCATTTGCTAAGGACTCTTAGTGTTGCTTTTGGCCATACATTCTTGAAAAGTCAACAACAAACATCTTCAGTTTGGGGGGAAAGGGGATAGCAAATTGTAGATCTCTAGATACTTTGGTTCTATTCAAAGGCTAAAGCATAGCTAACCATTAAGGATTTTTAATTCAAATTTATATATCCTATTTGTTGAAATCACAACAAATGTATTAAAGATTAGTTCTATTTCTATAATAGAGGTTCCTTCCACATCCTTTTCATTTCAGCAATTTATATAAAAAATATATTAATAAAGCTTTCCCAATATAGTTTCCTAGAAGGTCAGAGTTGAGGAACACATAGCTTTTGATTTTCCCCATAAACAGAAGATGAGGCATGGACCAACAGGTGAGGGCCACAGATTTCCATCTGACGGTAGCTAGGCCAGAGTTCTGAATTTTATACCTTTGAGCTGATCTTCATTGCAACGGACCGATTTTTTAAAAGCTCATTTCTTTAGAATAAAAGTTCTATTTAGTAGCCAGTTTTAATTTGCCTTAAAATGCTTTTGAGCAGTTTACTTACCAGCCTTCAGATTTACAAGATCTATCATTGTTGCAGTTTTAATTTACCAAAAGCTTATTTTAAAGATTTCCTATATCTCACAACATCTCCTTGTGTAAAGTTGCTGTTTTTGAAATTGCAGACTTTAGTTCTCAGGCTAACAAGATGTTTATAGCTATTAATGTTTGCTGGCATTACTAAAAGGCTGAAAGATATTTTGCCTTTTGTATGTACATAGATATATATAAATATGATACAATGCTTTTCCATGTTAATTGCAGTTTTGTGTATTGTGATGCATTGTCGTTCGGTTTGCTGCAGCTTTGACTTGGTATCCTGACCATATCAATGTGACATGGGTTGTTCCGTCTGCCCCAAAGAAAACCTAACTGGCTGAATAAGCAAAATATCACTCATCATCCAGAGAATCAGAAAAAGAATTCTACTTCAGTGAGATTTTGGGGGTGAAGGGAACTCTCAAGCTATAGTTCCTGTAAGAGTAGCTAAACATGTCTGTTATTAGATATTGAAATTATTTACTACAATGGGTTGCTGGAGCAAACTGGTTTTGTTTTTTTTCTTTGTGGTACCATGTTCTTGTTTACTAAAACTATTAAACTATACAATGTAAAATCTCTTCCTTGTTTCTGTGAATATAGATAAATTTTATTTTTGTACATGATCAGGCATATTATATACCAAATAAGTCTGACACTTCGATTGTCCAGTAGTACCTACTAACTACTAATTAGCTATAATAATGAAGGCTTTTCAGGATAAGTAATGCCCCAATAGTTTGAAGATGTAATGGACTCAGTCTAAGCCTGGGAACATGAAGCCTGATTTCAGATAGTTTCTCATCACCTCTTTGTGCCTCCCATTGCATTACCTCTAAAAAAAGAAATTATTTTACAACTTCAAAAAATGCAATATTCAGCTAAGAACATTTCTGCAAAGCATAATTCTGCCTTTCCAAGAACTCTTTCTCACCAGGTATCTTTCTCTTATGGACTTTAATGTATCAGGTATTTGTGGAGTTTTACTAAAAAAAAAATATCACTCCAACCTTCACTATTTTATTAGATTATTCTGACAAGCACAAGTGATTAAAGATTTCTACTCATTAAAGGAAAAAAAGGTGTGTGGTGAACATTTCTTCTCATGTACAAATTTATTACTTTTTAATTAAATTAATGGATGACTATATATGCAGAGAGATGTCCTCTGCATGTAGATTGTGTGGTTATAAGCTTGTAAGATTAGCTGGAATTCTCATTTATTTGTAATATACTGTAGAAGTTGATTTTAAAAAAAAATTATTACCACAAACGGTTTAGATGCAGTGGAAGATGGAAGACAGTCATGGTAATATGTCAGGGTATAAATAATGCCACTAAGGTTTCACATTTACAGAATTACAGAATGAGAAAAAAAATAAATATTTTATACATCTCAAGAAGTATATTCATTAGGAAGGATACAAATTATTAAACTGAGAACAGAAGTGCACAAATCCAATGCTGGTTCTGTTGATATTGCTATATACTTTTTAAAAATAATTTTAATGTGTTGTTTATTTTTTTTTGTTTCACATACACACAATCATTATGCATAGAGATTACATATTATTTATAGTATAACAACTAACGCAACTGCTGACCATTTCCCCGGTATTCATATTGATTCTGAAAAAGTGTTAAATCATTTAGTATTTCCATGTTGCAGAGAAAGTCTAGGTGATATAGAAGAACCCCCTAGGTTAGAAGCTGTTAACATTAAGCTAGACTCCTGTATTGATATTCTACAGACAGGTAGGACCACGTTAATATAATGGAGGATGGTTTTTAACCAGCAGTTAATCAAAGAGGCAGCAATATATGCTTCACGGTCCTCCTGAGAATTATTCTAATTATAAGTTTGCCTTTGGGTGCAAGTGGTAATGCTGTAAATAAAGATATCAGAGCACAACTCCTCATTAATCTTATTTATGCAAACTGTAGTGCAGCAATAAAGGTCAGTTCACCAAGTCATGGCTGTACATATGCATTATATTATTTTTAAGCAACATATTTTGTCCATACTAAACCCCTAAATGCAATTTATTTGGGAATAAAAAAAATAAGTTATGTAACAACTAACAAAAGTTGCACTTTCTGTATATTTAAATAACTTATTTTTCTCCCATTTACTGTTCTTGAATAATGTAAGTAGATGTAATATACCAGCATCGATATGTTCTTGCAATTTGCTTCCATTGCAGAAAGTTGTGTAAAGAGAAAAAAAACGGGGGGGAAAATCTTACAGGTGTGTAAAGATTACCGTGTTGTTTTACATCAAGAAAAGAAGCAACAAAATGACTTATCTGTCTATGAAAACAATTCTACAATTATGTACTGTTGTTCAAAGGAAAATAAAATTCATGTTGCTATAGTATCATTTTAACGTTCTTTTACACGCTGCAGTAAAAATGAAAACAATAAGGCAAAACAAGACTAGAATGTTGCAGAAGTGTTAAATTTCAAAGAGCTTTCAAATGTTGGAAAAGTGTATTCCTTAGCAATCTGGTACTGCCATACTATACCACTGAAAGGTTCAGCCAACAGATATTCATTGGTATAATATTTCACTGATCACTTAGGAAAGAGAATTCTGAAGATAGATGTGGGGCTATCATTCCTACCCCTTCATTCCTGGATATTGTCCCAGTGAAGATTTTGCCAGCCATGAGACAAAGTGGTTAATGATTATCAAACCTATTTTGCAGCCATCTTTTCAATATTTCGTGTCCTGGGATATCTATTGGTATACTCCATTTTAAGATTATATTTGGTCTTAATCCGTTAAAATTAAATCAGTTGGGATCTGGTCCTATTCTCTTGTCATTTTATTTATACCTGTGTTTTTCAAACTTGGCAACTTTTATGATGTGTGGACTTAAACTTCCAAAATTTCCCAGCCAACATCAACTTGCCAAATTGGAAACAAATCCTTCCCAAATTGATACTCTCTCCATAAACAGGCTTAGTTTAGTCAGGTAATGGTTACTAAACTGAAAAGTTATTGCTTCCGGTGACTGACTTAGTTTATATTTTTGCTCTTTTACATAGCATTAAATATAACGGCTAGCAAATATTCTGTATTTAATAAAAAATACAATGAAAAAGTGCATTTTACACCATGTATATGAAGTATAAAAAGTAACAGTAACATTCCATTCCACGAAATTACCCTAATGATATTAGTACCTAGGATAAAAATATATATTTCAATTTTCAGTACTGAAGGCTGTTACAAAAATTTACAAAGATATAATACAATATATAGTGGAAAAACTCGGCTACGATTAACAATTATCTAGCATCGTACTAATTTATACATTTAGCAATAGCAATAGCAGTTAGACTTATATACCGCTTCATAGGGCTTTCAGCCCTCTCTAAGCGGTTTACAGAGTCAGCATATCGCCCCCACAGTCTGGGTCCTCATTTCACCCACATCGGAAGGATGGAAGGCTGAGTCAACCTTGAGCCGGTGAGATTTGAACCACTGAACTGCAGATAGCAGTCAGCTGAAGTGGCCTGCAGTACTGCACTCTAACCACTGCGCCACCTCGGCTCTTCTCAGATGGAACATTATCAACTGCCATTTTTGCTATCAGTTTGAAATTTTCCCTGGGCTGTTTATCTTATTTATAATATACTTACACAGATTGCACATGGTTTCCAATGAAGTAAGACATGACAGTAAAACCGGAATATAAAGATAACATATAGTGAATTTCAAGGAAATATTTTTAAAAAATGAAACTTCAAAAAACTTTATGAAGCAAAGCCTTCACAGGTAGCCCTCCATCGCTAAATGGTTGCCCTGTTCAGTAACCAAAGTTTCAGTGACATTGTAAAAATAACTTTACAACCAGTCCTCAAAATTTTCAGCTGTTGTGGTGTCCCCTCAGTCATGATTGAAATTCAACACTTTGCAACTGGTGAGCATTTACTATCATGACAGCATCCCACAATCACATGATTGACATTTGTCAATCACAACCAGCATCTGATAATTAATGGAGAATCTGCTAATAAAAATGGCAAATTGCAATCACATGCTATCTTAAAGGTGGCTGATTCTCTTAATGATTCTGGAACTGACATCATTAATTCGTTGTGGTTTTGTAGTGTTTTTCTTAATATCAGTCACTTAATGATGACATTTTTGCCAGTCTCAATTGTGGTTATTTAGCAAAGACCACCTGTAGTATGCTGTAAAAGATAAGATGGGGATTACCATCTGGTAGGATGTTCCCTCATTAAAGAACAGGCTCTTAGAAAAGCCCCACTTTCAGTCAAAGAAACCTGTCTTTCAGATTTAGGTAACTGTCAGGCAGCCACTTCTCAACTTTATCAATCATAAAAAAAGGAAGAAATCAGCAGAAATTGTAAGCGCCCTTCCTTTGCAAAGTTAGTTTGCCATCCATCTTCATCACTGACTCAGCAGTTTATTCCTGCAAGAGGGCAACTTTCCAGCAAATGGAAAGAGGGCATTCCCTGCAGGCATTGTTATACTTATGATACAGCCACAGGCTGTATTTAAGCTACTTTTCAGTAACAAAATAGAAATAAAACACAGCATTCTTTCCTATATTCTTTTAACAAGGAAGAGTTATGTCTTCTGAAGAGGCTGCAGTAGAGGTAATTTTGGAGTCTGGTCAAAAATGAAAGTATTTTCTGTTCCTTCTGGGAAGGCATGAGCCTGATAAAATTTAAGCAAAATTACCAATGTGGATTTACAAGAATATATACAGAAGTAAGGAAATTGCTTCCAGAAACCATCTACACATATTCTGGTTGTATGTTATAACACAGTGGTGTCAAACGGGTGGGTCGTGGGCTGGATGCATCATGTGCAGGCCACCCTAACCCCCAGCTCTGCGGAGGCGGGCGGAAAGTCGCAAAATGTCTCATGACAGCAACGTGACACTGCGAGTTTGACACCTGTGTTCTAGCAGAAGTGAGGAAATGCCTTAGTGATCTTGGATCCTTTCCATCAATTTTGATATAAACCAGATAATCATCATGAACATCAGCATTTTTTTTTTGATAATGTGGAATCTATGCAATAGTTACTTAACCAGAAATTGCTATGAAAAAGTAAATTCAGATTTTTTAGAGATGGCAAAATATTAATACCGTAATCTTCTTGCCAGCTGTTTGGTTTCCAGACTGTCCTATTTCCAATCTATACCAAAGAGTTAAAACAATCCACTGGCTACATAGTGAACCAAGATGTGACAAAGTTGAATGAAATGTGGATTTTCTTTGGAAAAGAATATCCCTAGGGAATAGTTCTTTCAGGCTATTTTTAAAATATTATTGCTTAATAAAATGGCAAATCTTGTTTTGTGGAGATTATAAAATTGCAGTGGATTGAACATGAAACAAATAAGATTGCCATCAGCCTATTCATTACATGAGACAGGCAGGGATATAAGTTCTGTAAATTGAAACAAGATGACTTGTGGGAACTAATAGTCTTATAGAAACATCTCAGGGCACTGACCAGATTTCTGTTCAATTTGATTTTGGCTTAAACATTCTTTTAATTGAAAATAAATTAAAACAAGAAACTGGCTTGCTGCAGTCACAGCCACCAGCATCATCTTGATTTTTAAAAATACTTCTGAACCCCATATATGCCTCACAGCAGGGGTGGGTTTCTCGCCCCGTTCCAACTGGATCGGTTGGAACGAGGCCGGCGGCGTCCTCACGCATGCACGCGGCGCGCGCGTGCACGCACGCAGCGTCCTCGCGCACACACGCGGTGTCCTCGCGCACGCACGTGATGCGCGCGTGCACACACACGTGACGCGCGCATGCGCACTAGCGTCTGCGCGATGCTCCAGCTGCTCCTGGAGGATCGCGCAGGCGTTCTGCGCATGCGTGGAAAGCGCAAAATTAGAAAAAACCGGGTAAGGAGCGGGCGCGGGTGTGCGGGCGCGCGCGGGCACGGGGGGGGGGCCTTCGCCGTTCCTGGAAGTTACTTCCGGGTTCGGCGACCAACCGGATCGCAGGGACCGGTGCGAACCGGTCGAAACCCAGCCCTGCCACATACATACATACATACATACATACATACATACATACATACATACATACATA